AATAAACAGTGATCGTTTTACATAAATAAGTGAATTGGATGATTCAAATCCCATATTAGACTCATATTAGATACTAGAAATTAACTTTGTGTAAAGGGAAAGGGAAGTGAAACAAGGGAATGTAAAGGTGAAAGGTCACAAAATCGCGGCCGTGGGTGGGGTCAGCAGTTGCCAAGAGGCAGTATGGGGAGTGGAGTTATGTAGGTTTTATCTAGATTTAGCCGGTATCCCGATACTTTGGAATCTTCCTCTATGAGTTTGAGTAGAGGTGGGAGGGAGTGTGACGGGTTCGTGAGTGACAATAGCAGGTCGTCGGCGTAAGCCGCTGCTTTGTATGTTTGTTTGCGTACTGTGATACCTGTGATCATGTGTGTAGTGCAAATGAAGTGCATTAAGGGTTCAAGGGAGAGGGCAAAGAGGATGGGGGACAGTAGGCATCCCTGCCTCGTTCCATTTTTTATGGAGAAGGTAGGTGGATTTGTGTTCGGTATGAGGAGGTTGGCCATGGGGTTGGTATATATTGTTTTGATTGCATCTTGGAAGGGTTTGGAGAAGCCGAGTTTCTCCAAGGTGGCAAAAAGGAATGGCCAGAGAAGTCTATCAAAGGCCTTCTCAGCGTCTAGGGATAGGAGAAGGGTCGGAATGTGGCATCGGTTTGCCACCCAGATCAGGTCTAGCATCCTTCTGGTGTTGTCACTGGCTTGTCACTGGCTTCTGGTGTTGTCATCTGATCTCCGACCTCCTCCACACCGACATCTCCTTAGACCCCTGGATATGGGGAACTCCTAACTAGAGCACAAAACAAACTCACGAACAGACTGGCCTTAGCAACTAGACAAGCAATAGCAGAACTCTGGGGCCCCCTGAATATACCCACACTAGCTGTAGTCTTACGCAAAATCAGGGAGGCCATGGAGATGGACAGGCTCTCAGCCAAGATCCACGAAACATCACATCACTTCTATAAAATTTGGGACCCATGGCTGAATGAGCCCTCCCTAACATGAGACCCCACAGCACCAATACCCCCCAAACACTAGGCCAAACAGCAGGACCCCACACTTATACCTGGTCTGGATGGATCAGTTTGGTGAGGAATGGTAAGAGACGGTTGGAGAGTATTTTAGTGAAAATCTTCAAGTCCACATTTAACCTCTTAAGGACACATGAAATGTGTGACATGTCATGATTCCCTTTTATTCCAGAAGTTTGGTCCTTAAGGGGTTAAGAGGGATATGGGTCTGTAGTGGCCTGGGTCTGATATGGGTTTGTTGGACTTGGATAAGAGGCAGATGTTAGCCTGTAGCATTTCTTTGGGGAGTGGTTCTCCTTGTAGTAGGGAGTTATATAGCCTTATCATATGGGGCAGTAGTGTGTCTAGGAATGTTTTGTACTAGATGCCTGAGTATCCATCTGGGCCCGGGCTTTTATTTGGTTTGGTGGCTCCAATCACGGCTGCCACCTCCTGTTTCGAGACGCTGGCCGAGAGTTGTGCGAGTGCGCCGTCTAATAAGGTGGGTAATTTGGTTTGTTCGAGTAATGTGTGGATGCGGTCCGTTAGGTTGGAGGTGTTTTGTCTGTGCTGTGGGGAGTGGTCGTATAGATCTGAGAAATATGTTTGGAATGTGTCTGCGATTTTCACTGGAATATCTGTGGTGTTCCCAGAAGGTGTGCGAATGTGGTCTATGTGTTTGGCCTGTGTTCATTTGCGTAGCCTGCGTGCGAGGAGGGTATCGGCTTTATTGGATTTTTCGTAAAACTTTTGTTGTGTCCATTGAAGGGCTTTAGTTGCATCGGCTGTCATTGCGTTCTTGAGGGTTTGCCTCTGCTGTTAGAGTTGTGCAGTGAGGTCGGGGGTGGGTGTATGCTTGTGTCTGGCTTCTAGGTTTCTAATTTTGTTAAGAGTTGTTTCTATGTGTGCTAGACAAGTTTTTTTGCGTGCTGTTGCTATGCTGATGATGGAGCCCCTAAGTACTGTTTTGTGTGCGGCCCATAGTATTGCTTGTGATTGGACTGAGTCCTCGTTCGTGGTGAAATAGTTCTGATTTAAGTTGTTGTACTGTTTGTGGATCGTGTAGTAGGATCGAGTTGAGTCTCCAAGACCAGGGTCTGGAGATTTGTGGTGGCTGAAATGTTAAGGATATTTTGGCGTGATCAGACCAGGTTATATTGCCTATTGCTGTTGCTGTCGTAATCGGGAGAAGTGACGGGGAAACTAAGAAGTAGTCAATGCGGGAATACGTTTTATGTGGGTGGGAGTAAAATGTGTAGTCTTGTGCAGTTGGATGGTATATTCTCCATATATTGATAAGTTTGGTGTTGGAGATAAAGTCTGCCATGAGTTTGTCCGATCTGGATGGTTGGTTTTGTGTAATTGAATACTGTGGTTGTCGCAGTCTGTCTATTGTTGGGGAGATGATTGCGTTAAAGTCGCCTCCTATGATTTTATGGTGACTCGGGTGTAGACTGAGGTGGGCTTGTAATGTGGGCCAGAATTCAGGTTCCGGGGTTGTAGGGGCATATATGGAGGAGATAGCATATTTAGATGGCCCTATTGTGTTTGTTATAATTAGGTAGCGTCCGTGGTGGTCTTTGTGAGTGGACTTGACTTGTAGTGGGCATGATTTCCTCAGAAGGATTGCCACTCCGTTGTGTTTACCTGTGTCAGAATTGGCTAACTGGCAGACCTTGAAGTGGCAGCTCAGGAGGGTGAAGGGGCACTCTGCGGAGTAGTGTGTTTCTTGTAAGAGGATGATGTATGTTTTGGTGCGGTTGGCCTATCGCATAAGTCTGTGTCATTTTGTAGGATTGTTTAGCCCTTTTTGTTTAGCCCTGTTTATAGAGATGCACGTTAGACTAGCTGGCATGGTGGTGTGGTTGGGTTTGTTGCGTCTCGGTATTGGGATGACCTGCCTGCCTGTCCCATGTAGACTTTCGGGACCCCGTTTGGGAGCTCAATGTGTTACCCCTTAGTGAGACCAAGTGAGACCAACTTAACATATTTAACCAGTAACAACAGAAACAATAACAACTGCCTGGTCTTAGGGCTTTTGCCAGGCGTGGTGGCTGGATGGAATTAATTTAGGGTTCGTGCGCAGGGGGTGTAGGCGGCCTGTACTGGGCCTTTCCTGTGGGTATTGGAGATTGCTAGTGGGACGGGGTGTTTAGCCTGGGTTCCTCTTTCTTTTGGGCTGCTATGGTGTATGGCATGTTTAAGTGCGAGGGTACTGAGGTCCTGGATCAGTGTTTAGGTGTGCTTTTGTTAACATTGATCATCACAGTTCCCTGCCTCCCCCTCCCTTCCCTCCCCCCACTTCACTGATACCCAAATGTGTCCCCTGTCCCTGATTTTTCCTCCCCCCCTCCCTCCTATCCTGTTTAGCGCCTTTTCCTATCCCCTCTATTCCGGCCCCTTTCCCCCAACTCTTTAAGTAGCGTCCCAGTATTCTTGCTCAGTCCTTTCACTAAACTTTGTAATTATTAACTATTATACAGTTCCAGTAAAGGATATATGTTAGAGTTCTTTTCGTCCGGGTGGTCGATGGCGGTTATTCCACTCTGCTGCCCAGAGCAGTCCCTGCAGGTTCTCCTTTGCGCCCGTTGGGCTTCAGCTTTGTTGTGTTCACAGGTCGTGGTCTTGTACTTGTCGGATGAGTTGCAGCTGCTTCTTGGCTGGACGGTTCTGATCTGGTCGTGGTGTTTCCCAGAGTGGTGCCCAGGGGATTCTGGTACTGGTTGCTGGGTTTGTAGATTTTACCAGTGGTTCCTGGATTCGGATGCTCAGTGTTGCTGCGAAGGTTGCCATTTTGGAGATGTCTTGGAGGACATGTGTGGGGTCATGCTGGCGTACTAGGAGTTTGAATGGGTTCCCTCAGCAGTACGCAATGTTTGTCTGTGCCAGTGCGTTAGTGAGAGGTTTGAGTTCTCTGCGTTTGGCAAGGATGATGGGTGATATGTCTTGATAAAATTGCAACGTTGTGGCGTCGAATTTTGGCGGTTTTCTCCTGGTGGCTGTCATGATGGCTTCCTTGAAGGTGAAGTAATGTAGGCGTACTATGACATCTCTGGGTGCGGATTGGTTTTGACTGGGGGGGCTTTAGTACCCTGTGTGCCCGGTCTATGGTCAGATCTTGTGGCGTAGCTTCTGGTAGGAGGGACATGAAAATTTCACGTAGCGTGGCGGGTAACATGTCCGGCCCTACCATCTCAGGGAGGCCCCTTATCCTTATATTGTTGCGTCTTGAGCGGTTGTTCAGGTCTTCCATACCTGTTTCCAGAGTTTCCACTCTGTGTCTCAATGTGGAAATGTCTTCCTCCTGTGCCTTTAAGGTGTTTAGGAGTTCATCTGCTCTCTGTTCCACCTGGTCTGTTCTCTCCCCCAGGTCTGCTATTTCTGCTTTTATGCTGTGCAGCTGCTTCTCCAGCTCAGCTGCCATCTGTGTCTTGATGTCTGTGGCTGCTTCTTTTAGCAGGAGCTGTAGATCTCGTTTAGTTAGAGGGGCTACTGCTGAATCTGCTGCCTCACTCTGGTCTGAGTTTGAGGCTGTGTCATCTGCCTGTTGTGGGGAAGATGGCACCGGACCGCGCTAGGACCGGAACATTGTGGCTACCAAGGGCGTTTGATCTTGCTTTTTGCGGCTGCCGCCCATGTCGGTAAGTGGGTGCTGGCATCTTGGTGTGTGTGCCTGTGTGTTTGGGGGGTCTGCATGCTGATTTTTGCTGAATTAGTAGCTTTATTTGGCACCTGATGGCGGGCCATCTTCCTACCCGGTCAGGCTCCGCCCCCCGCCAACACTGTTTTTTTAAATATATATATATATATATATATTTATTTTTATTTTTATTGTTTTTAATTGGGGTAGCCCCCAAAATATTGGGACATATAAAAAAGACAACTCTGTTCCGCAGAGTAGCTGTTGACATTATAGTTGCGCAGGCACTTTGTTGACTCTAGAGAACCTCGGTCCAATCGCACATCCCCATGACGGCGAATTTGCATTTGGATGTCATCCATGTTAACTTTCGATGCCAGTTTCTGCACCTACCATGGTGACCACTTATAACCAGGGTTCCATTCCTTACAGGGACCCTGAGAAACAGCTACCACATGCAAGGAAGGCAGCAGGCGCGCAAATGACCCACTCCCGACGCGGGAAGGTTGTGACGACAAATAACAATACAGGACTCTTTAGAGGCCCTGTAATTGTAATGAGTCCACTTGAAATCCTTTAACTCTGATCAATTGGAGGGAAGTCTGGTGCAGATCGACTGACCTGTGCATGCTGCAGCTGAAACTCCACTATTGCCTGCTGCTGCTCGCACAGTCTCATGAGGCGGTGAGCGGGAAGGCCGAAGTTACGCTGCAGCACAGACAGGCGAGCAGCAGCAGTGTGAGAACACCAAAAGCATGCACAGCCGCTGCAGTGAATGTCACATCCTGTTCCAAGTTGCGGATCAGTCTGGTGATGGCTTCTGGTATCCAGTACTCTTTTTACTGAAGCTGCATCAGGGTCCTGGTATGTGGCCGCACAAACGCTGGTGCTCAACACCAGTGGGCATGCGGTTACCCTGCACCAGACCCTACTAATCCATTCCACACTGTGACTCCTAACTTCAACATTAGGCATACTGGGTCTCGGTCGTCCGACCGCCGCCCAGACAGTGTCTGGGTCCTCGTCACCGGACTGCCCACCTGACTGTGAAACTACGAATGGATCATTAAATCTAGGACGAACCCAAACTTTGCAGTTCAGGTTCGCTCAACTCTATTATGGATCCTTTGATCGCTACATGTATTACTTGGATAACTGGTAATTCTCGAGCTAATACATGCCGACGAGCGCTAGGGGACGGCCGCTCCGCTTTTGCACCCTGCTCCATCTTATGCTGTGCTGATGCCTCTGTGCGACCAGCGCCTCTTCCTCCAAACTGCACACGTCATTTGCATGACCTTGATTCCATGTGGGGTCTAGGACCTCATCATCCTCCACATCATCTTCCACCCACTCCTCAACCCTGCCCTCCTTGCCGGTATGCACACTGCAGAAAGCAACAGCAGTTGGCACCTGTGTTTTTCCAGCATGTAAAGTCTGCAAAGGACATATATAAATTGTTTTAGAATTGTATCCAGGCAACAGTTTTCCCTAGACTTGTGAGGGTATTGCCCCAGAATTACAATATTTTTTAAGTACCTCTTAGCTATTTATAACTGGTTTAAATATAGCAGCTTGTTATCTGGTAGTTTCTAAGGCAGTAAATATCAGTCTGTTTTCTATCACTTAGCTCTGTGTAACAAGTGTTGTAGGTGTGAAACAATATTACAAGTAACCGACGTAGTAAATTCGAATCAAAGTTCCATTTGCAAAAAAGAAATCTCTTGCCCATCTTCTGTGGGTTATTGCATTTTTAAGATGTAGACTTATTGTATCACACTAGCAATGCACAGGTAGATTGTCTGGCACGTTGTTTGCTTCATCTAAGTGCTGTTTCTTTTTTTTTTTATTATTCTTTCTTTATTTAACACTAAAAACAACAAAAAGAAAGCATTATACATTATACAATCTTTAACATGCATTTAACAGCAATATTACCTAAAAGATTGCATTTAAGCTCTAATATCACCATTTTGAGTTATTCATCAATACAAATTTTTACACACACAAAAAAACAAAAAAAAAACATTTAATACACTCTCCCCCCCTCTGCCTCTCTATCTACCTATACCCTTCCTATTCACATAAACCTTCCAGGGTTCCCAGACCTTACCAAACATATAATAAGAATGTCTTACTCTAGATGATAATTCATCCATTATATAATTTTCTTGAATCTTTAATTCCACCTCTCTCATTGATGGTAAATCTAGATTTATCCAGCTAGCAGCTATACATCTACGTGCGGCCAATAAAATTAAAAATATTAATTTCTGCGAATGGCAGGGTATACCTGCTATTGATTTCGATAGCAAAAATATCCAAGGATATTTCCCTGTATTATCACTTGAATTAGCTCCCTTATTTCCTCCCAATAGCTTTTAATCTTTGGGCAATCCCACCACATGTGTAAATATGTCCCTTGTAAACCACATCCCCTCCAACAAAGATCCGTCAGATTTTTGCCTATTTTGTACAAAAAAACAGGGGTCACATGCCACCTAAATAATATCTTAAACATTTGTTCCTGCGAGATTACACAAATCGATATTTTGGATGCTGTTTCCCAGATATCTATCCAATCCTTAGTTTCCAAAGAAGAACCTAAATCTGCCTCCCAATAGGATATATACTTTAATGGAGCCCAAACCGTAGGTTCCTCACTTAGTTCATTATACAAATCAGAGATAAGACCTCCCTTTAACCTACCTATTTTGCACATTTTTTTCAAAATTAGTGAAGGGGAATTTAACTGCCGTTTTTACCTCCATTGAATACGCAAAATCTCTAATCTGCAAATAACAAAAAAAAATCTCCTGGCTCAGTTCTACTCTGGTCAACAAACTAGTAAATAAAACTACCTCTCCTTCTGACCAAAGATCTACATATCTATAGATTCCTCCTGCCTTTAAGCCTTGAAAATTGTGTTCTTCCATACCAGGAATAAATTGTCTATTCCGAAAAACAGGGGTCATGGGTGAAGGGAAATTAGTTAGACCATGTTTTAACTTAAGTTTATCCCAAATGTGGAGGGAGTTTGCCGTAGAAGGGCATATTTGTTTCAACCCTGGTCTTGAAACCTTATTCAACCACATATACAACCCTGGCGAGTCTGGTGTCATTAAATCTTCCTCCATATCCGCCCATCTGTATTTCCCTTGATTTGCATGCCAACCAACAATTTGAGCCAATTGGGCTGCATAATAATAAATAATTAAATTGGGGAGACCTAGTCCCCCTTTAACTCTCGGTCTATACAAGAGAGTTCTAGCTATCCTATGTCGCTTGCCCTGCCAAATAAATGTGTCTATAGCTTTCTGAACACCCAATAAGTCCTCTTTACAGACCTTTATAGGCAATGCTTGAAATAGAAATAAAAGCCTCGGTAAAATATTCATTTTTATAGAATGAATTCTGCCAATCCATGAAATTGGCTTATCATGCCAATTCTCTAGGTCCTTTTTCAAAGTTTTAATCAAAGGTACATAATTGTTATTAAATAATGTATTATAATCGTATCCAATTTTAATACCCAAATAGCTTAGAGATTTATCTATACTCATATCAAATTTAGTTTTTAGCTGGTCTTGTTCTATCTCAGATAAATGAAAAGGCACTCCACACGATTTATTATAATTTACCTTATAGCCTGAAATGGCTCCAAATTGTTCTATCAACTTAAACAATTCAGGGATAGATTCAGAAGGGTTTGCTATAGAGATTAAAATATCATCGGCATAAGCCAATGTTTTATAAATCTCCCTCCCTATTTGAATACCCTGTATATTGCCACTTCCCCTGATATGGATCAGAAGGGGTTCCAATATAAGTGCAAACAAAATAGGAGAGAGAGGGCATCCTTGACGTGTGCCATTGTATATTCCAAACGGAGTATTAACTGAGCCAGGGAGCTGTATTGTTGTTTGGGGATTTGAATATAATGCACGGATTATAGTAATGCAATTGACTGGAAAGCCCCAATATTGAAGCAAATAAAATAGATAAGGCCAGGCGACCCTATCAAATGCCTTTTCTGCATCTAATGATAAAAGTATTGATGGTGTCTTCCCTACTGCGATAACCCAAGCAACATTAACTGCTCTATGTGTATTCTCATACAGCTGTCTACCTGGAACAAAACCTACGTGATCTGGATGAATCAGAAAAGGAAGTAGGGGAGAGAATCTCAGGGCAAGGACTTTAGCTATTATTTTTATATCAACATTTATTAATGATATAGGCCTATAATTTCCCACTGAAGAAGGGTCCTTATCTTTTTTTGGTAAAAGAACAATTTTAGCCATTGTAAGGTCGGCTGGAAGAACTCCGCTTTGACAAATTTCATCTATGACCTCTTGTAAATATGGCATAAGAGTGTGTTGAAATATTTTATAATAACTACTACTAAAGCCATCTGGCACTGGTGCTTTACCCCCCCTTAATAGAAAAGCATGCCGCTTTAGTTTCCTCTAAAGATATTTTGGTCCCTAATCCTTCTAAAGCATTTTTAGGGATTTGGGGTAAATTTATCTTATTCAAAAATTCTCTC